TTCAATCCAGTGGGCTCTGAAGGCTGTGATCAGCAGTATGGTCCAGTTGGAGACCAGCCACTAGAGGTGACCCACCGTGGTTGACCTTGGAGCCAATACTGTTCAACATCTTTATTAATGACCTGGATGATGAGAGTGAATGAACACTCAGCAAGACAACTGATAAGGCCAAACAGCAGGAAGTGACTGGAACACCAGATGGTTGTGCTGCCATTCAGGGGACCCTCAGCAGGCTGGAGAATTGGGGAGAGGGGAATCACATGCAATTCAACACCTGGGCAGGAATAAGTCTATGCACCCATACAAGCTGGGGACCACCAAGCTGCAGAACAGTTTTGCAGAGAAGGACCTGGGGATCCTGGAAAACACGGGCTGGCAGCGTGTCCTTGCGGAAAAAGCGGCCACTTAGTCTGCATTAGGAAGAGTGTGGCCAGCAGGGTGAGGGAGGCGATCCTTTCCCTCTAGTTAGCTCAGATGGAGCCAGGTCTGAACTGCTGCCTCCAAGCCTRGGTTCTCAGGATGGGAAAGACATGGACTTGCTGGAGCAAGCCCTGTAGGAGAGTAGGAGAAGGCTTTTGAGCAGAGAACTGGGTCCATTTTACCTGGAGAAGAGAAGGCTCAGAGGGATTGTATAAATTGTATGTATAAATATCAGAAGGCAGGGTGTCAAGAAGATAGGGTCAGATTCTTGTCAGTCTTGCCCAGTGGACAAAGGGCACTGGACACATAATGAAACACAGGAAGGTCCACCTTAACACATGAAAACATTTTTTTTTTTTAACTATGGGAGTGACTAAACCTTGTGTCATGTTACCCAGGGATGTTGTGGAGTCCTGAGCTTCATGGTCCTGAGAAACCTGCACTAAGTGACCTTGTTTCAACAGAGGGGTGGACCTGATAATGTCCAGAGATCCACTCCAGCCCCAACTATTCTGTGATTCTTTGAGGACAAGGATTTGAGGACAATCCTTGAGGACAATTTGAAACAGTCCTCAGATTGTCTGCAGGAATAATGCAGGTATTATTCCTGCAGACATATTCCTGCAGACATATTCCATAACTGCTCTAAACACGGGCTTTGTCCCTCCTCCTCATAGTTGTGCTTAGCAAACACCATTGAAACGAAGGAAAATGTTACAATGCAGTCTGCCTTTAAATGAACATTGATGTGACAGTCTCAGCTGATGCTAGATTTGTTTCTACTCTGCAGTTATGGCTATTGAGACACTGGACGATAGCAGCCTCGGTTATAGCAGAATCCCAGCTGCAGCACACAGGGCATTACAGATGTAGCATCCATGGAGGCTACTTTAAAAATACACTCACTGAGGAAATTAATTTTTTTGCAGAGATTTTTCCTTTTTCTCCCCCCTTGTCCTTCTCTTCTAGTTTCATGGACCACATGGAAAAAATCTTCTTCCTACTCTCACATTGTTAGAAGAAAAACTGCTGGAGTAGCATACTCCTCTGAAAGCTGCTCTGTGAAAAATACGGAAGTTAAGGGTAGAATACAGCAGGTAACACTCAAGCCCTCAAAGAAGCCTGGTGTGTAGTGCTTCTTTCTGCTACCAATTTCATGCTTTCCTTCCTTCATTGCTGAGCACTAACGCCTACTAAGTGGCTTTAGCACTGCCAGAAAGTAAACTTCTTGCGCTGTTTCTCTGAGAAAATGAAAAGTGGTGCAGGACACGCACAAAACTTCTAGAAGAATGAAACCAGCTACAATGTAGCCAATGCCACTTTCTGGTTTTGACTTTTGTAGTGCCAGGATGTCCCATCAGTCTGCAGTGACGYGGTCCTCAAATTCACAAGACATACTTTGAAGTGAGACAAACAGCCCCCAGCAGCACAGCTGGGCTTGCCTACTTTGTGAGCGATTTGTTGAACAAGGGCCTGAATAGGAGCAAGTAATTTATATTATACAGAGGGCTTCTGAGGAAGTAATCCATGCAGAAGGTAATAAAATAAAAAATCCTTCCTGTGTTTAAAGGTAATTTGACACAAAGTCTAGCTCTGCCTTAAGAACTTTAGGGAAAAATTTCAAGTGTTCTCATTTCAAGACATGTAATAACCTAACTGGTGTGACCTCTGCCAGACAGGAAATGGCAAAATATATTCAATGATTTTTTTTCTGCTATCAGCAGAGTGCTACACAAAAATGAGAAAAGAGAAGAATGTCCCTTTCTTCCTTTTACCCCCTAAACTTTGGCCTTAAAGGGRAAAAAAAAACAGAAGGGCAAAGTACATTCGACAAAGTGGAAGATGAATAGGCAGATACAGTGGCCTAGGCTGGAGCTGTAAAAGAAAAAAGAAAGCTTAGTCCTGAATCCAATTGGAATAGGTTCCCTTCTAAAAATCCCAGCCTAAGATCACAATTGGGAGTTTTTATGCTCTAAGCAGGAGTTGCAAGCAGGCTACGTGCTACCCACAGCAACACAAACAGAGCAAGCTGGCTGAAAGAAGGGTCAATGGCTGCTCTAACCAGTCTGCTCTACTTTGTTCTACAGAGAGCACGGTGTGGGCCATGGTGGTCAGTCACAGTGTCACAGTTGGCACGCCGGGGAGGGGGCAGCTTCTACCAACACTGTAAYGGGATCTCAGGTGGCCATGCAATCATGCATGAGTAAAGAAGTGATATTAATGGAGCATTGATGGGTTATTCACTTTATGGTTACTTCTCAGGAGTTTACTTAAAACACTGGGTTGATGTAGATATGAAAATGCCACAGAGCAAATTACATGAATTTGAAACATATACCTACTATGAAAACTGAAAGTTTTAGGTTTTCCTGTGGTTACCAGCTTGCAAGCCATTCCACACAGGCAGATCCTTGTGTCCCCAATTAACCTCAGTCAACTAACTTAAACAGGGCTGTGTATGACTAAGGTCCGCATTCGTAAGATTCAGAAAATGCTTTGTATAAAAAATCGGTCTTTGGCCAACCCTGATTGCTGCTAAGTTGCATCTGATAGGAGGAAAATGTGCCTGTTTATGAGAATTTATATCAAAATTTCCTTGGAGACCAGGATAGCACTATTTTTCTTGCTGCTTTTGTAGTCACCGCTTTGGTGTAATTATCCTTCTCTTGCCAATATCAAAGCGGAGTGGGAGAGGGACTTTTTTTTCAAAGGCAGGATAAATCCCCTAGCCTTTAAGTTCTGATGTCTTCAGTTTATGACTCACTACATCCCAAGCGAAATGAAGCTGTGATCAGAGCTCGAGACCTGATCCAACGCACATTGAAATCAATGGGAATCTTTCCGTTGACTTCAATGGAAGGCGGGTCACACCCTTAGCAGGCACTAGCTGCACTCATAACAAAACCACCCTCCGGTTTTCAATGGCAGAAAACATGGTCAGCCTGGGAGCAGCGGGGATCCCAAAGGTCACGGATCGTCTACAGGAAAAAACCTCATACAGGCAAAGCTCATACAGAGACGCTCCAGCTGCACCTGTCTGCACTGTGCCTCTTCCTAGCACTATCAGCCCAGACAAAATGGAGCCCAAGACAAATATTTATCACAAAAATGTAAAAAGCACAGGGCTTGGCAAAAGTCAAAATCTGGCCCAGAGTGGAAAATGTAAAATAATTATTCAGTCTTAAAATAGTCTTCAAATAAAACCAAAGGAAACTTAAAGAAATGATCTCAGTTCAACTTAGCTGTTAGAAAAGACCTTTTAGTTCAGTTTATGACATGAACTAATGGCAGTTCATGCAGGACTTCTAAAAGAAGGGAAATAAACAGCATAAACAGTGCCAGGCCTGTGTGCTAGCAGACACTGAAAAACAACTGTATGCTGCCTTTAACATCCTTTATATGGATCCTACCTAAAATAGGTGGGATCTCTATAGTTACAAAGAAAAWGTCACACTGAGGGAACATCAATCTTTAAAATAGGGCACATGCAAGGCTCCTGACAACCAGCCTCTCAGAGCAAAAACTGCACAAGTGCATATTCTTTGGAAAGGCAAGAACAGTGACTAAGGATGTCGGTAAGAAATTGATTAGTGGTAGCGAAAAATAAGCAAGGAGCAAAAAGGAATATTGATCTTCTAATGGCAAAGAACACCTGGGTTGGATGACTGCATTTACTGGGTGGCCTTCAGCTCTGTTTGCAACTCCGCAGTACCGAAGCACGGCGGAGCAGTGGAGTTTTGGGGCAGGAGGGGTGAATGTGCCCGCAGACTCRCTGTCCTCACGCTGGCTGGAACGCCCTGACGTGCTGTCTGCCTGTTATTTGGTACCTCAAAACGTTTCACTCGGGAGGGCCTCACCGGAGTAATCACTTCTTCTGACTAGCCTGTCAGCCTGAGCTTTGTGGGCTGTGAAAAGAGACAGGCCTTTTTTCACGCTTTGGGTTTTTTTTCTGCACTTAACTTTTCACCAAACCAAGACRTGCCCAGTGCAGGAGCGATTTCGCTGGGTCCGCTACTGACTCAGCAGAAGCTCAGCTATAAACGAAGGGCCGCGCTGCCGCCCGGGGCGGGTGGAYGGTCTCTACGTGAATGAGCACACTGTGCTGCAGGTGAGGGAGACGACAGCGGGCACCCACTGGGCGCTGCCAGGAGCCGACGGGAGCAGCCAGCGAGCTGGCTTGTGAAACAGGAGCGGAGCCTGTTAGCAAACCGCGCCGCTGGAAGCCCCTCGTGCCCTGGCGAACGTGACCCCGCCGGGGGACGCGTGGCAGGCGGCGTGACGCTCCTGGCCGCCGTCCCCCTTGAGAGGGCCACGGGGAGCTCGGCTGCAGGGCGCACGCCGCCGTCAATAAACGTCCCCTCCATGCGTGCGGCGCCGGCGTCGACCCGCTGCCGCGTCACCCCCAGCCCCCTCAACGGCCACTTCCCTCCCCTCCTCCCCCCCCAACGGCCGCGCCCCGCGAGCCCCCGGCGGGAGCCGTTAACGGCCGCCGCGCGCCCCGCGCTGCGCCACAGCGCCCCGCCGCCATCACGGGGCCCGGCGCGGCGGCGAGCCGGGCCCGGCCGCGGGCCGGCACCTACTTCTTGCAGGGGATGAGCGCCTTCCTCTCCTCCAGGATGCGGAGGCGCTCGTTGGGGCCGTCGTAGGACACGGCCGCGCGCGTGTTGCGGCCCGTGCCGTGCTCGTAGTACACGGCGCGCCCTTCCCACTGCCGC